GCCCCGCCCACTCGGCCTAGTGCCCCGGAGCGTGGGGCCCGGGCCGCCTAAGACTAGGGGGGTGACAATCTGCCCGAGCGACCTGGGCACGTCCAAAGCCATCCGGGCCAGAAATCCACAAACGCTCGATGAAGCATAAAGCGCTTTGCTCCTGAGGCTACCAGGTTGACTCCAGGGATGGGGGGAAGAAGTCTGGGGAATCATCTTTTCCCCTTAATTTCCCTTCCCAGAAAAGTTTTGGGGTGCGGGAAGCGCAGGCCCCCAGCCTCCCCGGTCTTGACTCTTGAAGCACAAGTAGTCCTGTCCGTTTAGCGATTCCTCCCGGCACCATGCATCCCTCCCCCTCCGCCAACACACACGCCCACCTCCCTGCCATCTGTAGGACACGCGAGTGTTCTGATGCCGCCCTCGGAACTTCCGCCCGCGGTTTCTGTGAAGAGGAACATTTAACTCCTGTTGGTGAAAAACCCACCCCAACCCAACCCATTGCGGTTGAATGGATTCCGACTCATAGCGACCCCATAGGACAGAGTAGAACTGCCGCATAGGGTTCCCAAGGCTGCGAATCTTTGCCGAAGCAAACTGCCACATCTTTATCCCACAGTGAAAAACCACCGCTCTTCAAGCCAATGTCTGACGGTAAAGGCATTTAGGACGTTTGCTTTCTGGGCTAGACTGATTTCCCTGCCCATTTTGCTTCTGTTCCCATATCCAACTGCCCTTCCCCTCTCAGCTCACCCTGAGTGGACCCCGACTTAAGGTGACCCCATGCACAATGGAAGGAAATGCTGCCCCATCGTGCACCATCCCGTGATCAGTTGTGGATCTATTGTTGTGATCCATAGAGTTTTCATTGGCTGATTTTTGGAAGTAGATTGCCAGGCCTTTCTTCCTAGTCTTAGTCTGGAAGCTCTGCTGACACCTGTCCACCATGGATGACCAGGCTGGTATTTGAAATACCGGTGGCATAGCTTCCAGCATCACAGCAACATGCAAACCACTACAGTATGACAAACTGACAGACGGGTGGTGGATATCTATATTTACTGATAGAAAAAAAAAATGAGGCCTCTGGGTCACAGACAAAGATGGTTTATTAGTCACAGCAAAAGCAGCAGCCAAAACAAGATCTTGGGCCGGTTCCCCAAGCTCCAGTCCCCACAGGGCAACATGCTCTTTTGCCATGTGACCTTGCCATTCGCACATCAAGGGGTACAATCAGTTCCTCCCCCTCCCCCTGCCCTTGCATGTGACCTGGCCCTGTAACCTCCTTTAACAAATAGGGGGCAAGATGGTACCTGCTCGTGCAATGGGGTGCATCCCAAGAGAGGAACCCTAAATTTATGAAACTCTGGTCTTATATAGGGCTGCTAGTGACCTTCCAACCTCCCCTCCAGAGAAAGCTTACTCATTACCCTGGAATGCAAGCAAACTTCTGGGGAGAATAGTGGAAAGTCTTTATCCTTACTACCCTGGACTGGCTCCAGGGAGGGAAGACATCTCCAAGTTTTACTATCCGGGAATGTCTCTGTTATGGATTGAATTGTGTCCCCTCAAAATATGTGTCAATTTGGTTAGGCCATGATTCCCAATATTGTGTGGTTGTCCTCCATGTTGTGATTGATGTAACTTTCCTGTGTGTTGTAAAGCCTAATCTCTGCCTGTGGTTAATGAGGCAAGATTGGGTTATGTTAAAGAGGATTAGGGTGGGATGTAACACCCTTGCTCAGGTCACATCCAAGATCCAATGAAAAGGGCGTTTCCCTGGGGTGTGGCCTGCACCCCCTGTTATCTTACTAGAGATAAAAGGAAAGGGAAGTGAGCAGAGAGTGGGGAACCTCATACCACCAAGAAAGCAGCGCTGGGAGCAGAGCATGTCCTTTGGACCCGGGGTCCCTGGGCCTGAGCAGCTCCTCGGCCAGGGGAAGATTGATGACAAGGACCTTCCCCAAGAACCAACAGAGAGAGAAAGCCTTCCCCTGGAGCTGACACCCTGAATTTGGACTTCTAACCTCCTAAAGTGTGAGAGAACGAGCTTCTGTTTATTAAAGCCATCCACTTGTGGTATTTCTGTTCTAGCAGCACTAGATAACTAAGACAGTCTCCTTATACACTTTCTTAACTTGGCTGTAAATGTATTAGCTCAGAGGACCCAGAATGTGCAGAAATGTGGGATACATGGAGAAATGTCTCCCAACACACACATGTCCCCAGCCCCCACCTCCCTCTGCCCTGCAAGGCCCACACCAGGGCCTACCCATAGTTGTTGAGTTGAACATCCTGCCTTTCCAGGAATCACTTTAAGCGGGACGGGTACATGGCCCCAGAGGCCCACCCGAAGGTGAAGTTGTGTGGTGGGAGTGAGTTCTCAGGCCCATGCTGGCACTCACTGGGGGATGATCAAGGCCTCCTTTATCCTCTCAGCTGCACTCTGAAGTTCTTGCTGGGGAAGTGGGAAGGGTTGACGAGAACATGCTGCATGATTATGAAATGTTTATGCAGTGCACCGTATAAAGCAGAGTTTTCAAAATTACACGCATAGAAGTGACTTGGGACACCCATTAATATGCAGATTCATGAGCTCCACTCCAGACATGCTGATGATTTAGGATGTTGGGAGGCAGAGAGGAGGATGTTGGGAATCCACATTTTAAAAAGCACCTCAGGTGATTCTGATACAGATGCTCTGAAGATCACACTCTGAGAACTCCCGTTAGAGGTGATGAGGAGCCACACCCAGGCCTTGGAGAGAGCTGAACTGATCGTATTCACATTTTAGAAAGATAACTTGGGCGGCAACATGGAGGATGGGTTGGAGGGGCAGAAGTGGCTGTGGGAAGATCAGTTAGGACTGATGCGCGAGGCCTGACCTGGGCCAGCTCTCAGTGACTGATGGGGTGTTGGGCATGAACGGGAAGGAGGAGGAGGCTAGGAGATGGGTCGAGGCTGACACCGAGGCTTCTGACTTTAGTAACTGGTAGAAGGTGATGCCAATCCCTGAGAGAAGGAACCCAGAATGACAGGCAGGTGGAAGAGGAAAGTGAATACGATGAGTTCATTCTGGGCATGTTGAGCATGACCCACCTTGAGTCACTGTGAATGGTCCCCTTAGATGTCACCCCCTTGTACACGGCACAACCAGCTCAATGATGGGTGGCGGCCTTGTGAGGTGCCTATGAGATACCTAAATGGAGATGTCCAGTAGGCAGTTGGCCATATGGGTCTAGAGCTCAGGAGTGAGAGAGGTAATAAAAGGTTGATTCATTTTCATAAAATTCGAAGAGACTTTTTTTTTTTTTGGAAATTGAATCTTCAGCTCCACAATTTGGGGGCTATGTATGGTTCAGTCCACAACCTTCATTTCTGGAAAATGAATTAAGCAAATGAAAGTGGACTTGATTATCCTTGCCAAATGAGCTTCTCAAAACATAATTTTGCTAGGAATGAGCAAATCTAATCATCTATGGAACTACATGTGAATGCCACTGTAGAGAAACAGTCCCCTTGCTTAGAGGTGTCATGTCAACTCAAAAGAGCAAGGTTTTGAGCCATCTTTGCAGGTGAGCTTGGATGACACTTGGACATGTAAACATTAATTTCTTTCAACAGTTCTAAAAACTCTCCTCCACAGCACACCCCATGTGTTGTGGGTTGAATTGTGCCCCCCCCCCCAAAAAAAAAAAAAGATCTGTTGAAATCCTAACCACCAGTACCTGTGAACATGACCTTGTTTGGAAATAGAGTCTTTGAAGATGTAATCAGTTAGGTTAATATGAGGTCTTACTGGAGTAGGGTGGGTCCTAATCCTGTATGATTGGCGTCCTTATAAAGAGATGAGACAGAGAGACACATACAAAGGAACGATGCCATGTGATACTGCAGCTGCAAGCAAAGGAATGCCTGGAGCTTCCAGAAGCTAGGAGAGATTCTCCTAGGCATGCAACAGATTCTCCCTACAAGCCTCAGAGGGAATCCATTTGGCTGACACCCTGATCTTGGACTCCTAGCCTCCAGGACTTGAGACAATACATTTCTGGTCTTATAAGCCAGCTAAGAAACTCAAGTAACACGGAAGGGCTGTCACCTTGGTGCATCACAACAGGCCACAGAAGACAGCATCCATTTGATAAGCAAAACACGGAGCTCTCTGTGGTTCAAACCAGGGCAGTGTGTGCAGGTCTGGTGTTCACTGTTAGGTCCATTATCGGACTATTTAGCCCAAAGCAATGCCTGGTGAATGAAGCAACAAATGGACTTAAGTTCTGTGTGTCCTTGCAAAACATTGCTGCCTTGGATCCAGGTTTTTAACAACTCCAGCATTACCCCATACATCCCAGAAGCATCATCCAGTCATGTTTAAAAATCTTGGCCTGTCCACTTTTCAAGACTTTCCTCAACACAAAAATAATTTCCTGAGTTGTGCAGCACTGGTCTTATGGGTCGTGTCCCCCTAAAAGATCTGTTGAAGTCCTAACCCCTGGTACCTGTGAACGTGACCTTGTTTAGGAATAGGGTCTTTGCAGATATAATTAGTTAAGTTAGCGTGAGGTCAGACTGAAGTAGGGTGGGCTCTAATCCAATACGACAAAGACACACACAGAGGGAAGACGGCCACGTGCCCACAGGAGCAGAGATTGGAGTGACGCCGCCAAAAGCCAAGGAACACGTGGGGCTCCCAGAAGCTGGGCGAGACAAGAAACGATCCGCCCCTAGAGCCTTCGGAAGGAGCATGGGCCTGCTGACCCCCTGAAGTCAGACTTCTAGTCTCCAGAACTGTGAGACAATACATTCCTGTTTTAAGCCACATAGTGTGGTAATCTGTTATGGTGGCCGTAAGAAAGTAATACAATTAGACACTGTATTAGTTTTTTCATTGTTGCCGTAATAAATTACCACAAATTTAGCAGCTTAAAACAACAGAAAATCATTTTGTCTCACAATTTCCGTAGGCCAGAAGCCCAGCACGGCATGCTGGGTCTAGTTTAGGGCCTCCCAAGGCCGAAATGAAGGTGTGGTCAGGCTGTGTGCCTTTCTGGAGTCTCTAGGGGCAGAATCTGCCCCCAGGCTCATTCAAGTTAGCAGCTGAATTCAGTTCCCTGTGGTTGTAGGACTTGTGTCTCTGTTTCCTAACTGGCTGTCGGTCAGCCCGGGGCCACTCCCTTAATATCAACAGCTGCGATCTCCACGTAGAGGCTGAAATTCATAGTTTCGTGTACATTCATCCCAGCACTTCTGAAAAAGCTATCGTTACTTTCAGGCCCCTAGGTGGTGCAAACAGTTTGCACTTGACTACTAACTAAAAGGTTGGCAGTTCGAACTCACTCAGCGGTGCTGTGGAACAAAGTCCTGCCAATCTGCTTCCAAAAGATTACAGCCAAGAAAACTCCATGGAGCAGTTCTACTCTGTCACACATGGGGTCGTCATGAGTAGGAATCGACTCGATGGCAAGGGGTTTGGTTTGGTTTTTGGTATTCTCACTGTAGTAAAGACAGCCGTGACCCTTAAAGTCTGCATTGTTAATGTGCTTGAATGACAACTATTGTTGGAATTATGGCAGAGCCTTGTAAGGTTGCTAGTAAGACACAGAAAAAAGCACACCAATGAGATCCAGAACAGAAAATAAGACAGGTGTCATATGCATTTAAACACAAATCTGCAGTTATAGCCCTGACAATCGAGGGTTACGTTTTCGTTAATATATTTATTACAGCAGGTCTTTAGTCATTATTGCCATGAAAATTCTTTCATGAAATTTCACAAAATCCTTTAAGCTATTAGTATTAGCTTTTTTCTTCTTATGGAGTGATACTTTGTTAATTTATGAAATATTTACAGCGTTTACAAAAAGCAAGAGAATGTCTGATAAAATTTCTTATACTTACAAAATTCATACATTACACTACTGCATTTGAGATGCCTTATTTGGTAGACCAATTAAGCTATGACATAAAATAATTTACAAAGATATATTTAATCTCTCTTAATTCACTGAAAACAAAACCATATTAGCTATAAATAGTCCTTTACAAACCATTGTAAAACACATTAATTGTTTTAACTCTAGCCTTAACTTTTACAAATATACTTACTAAATGAATTAGTTCAGATATCAAATAGAACTGTGCATTTAAAATTTCATTTAATACTACACAAAGAAAAACAACCAATAAAACAAAAAAACAAACAAACGCCAAAAAACCTGAAAAAGCAAACTGCCCGGTACTTCAAGTAAAAATCTGTAGAACCAGTTTTTATGCACACTTAAGGGAAGGGGCACCTGACACCATTCAAACTGAAATTCAGGAAACACAACACTCTAAAGAATACACTCAACCACTACACATCTGGGCACTATTTCAAAGACCGATGCTCCAGCAAGAGCTCATACACACAAGATGGCGAACCCTCCTGTGGTAGATGAGCTGGCTAGACTAGAGCGAGGTTTGCGAACACATTCCCACCTAAGGAGCATCATGGCACCTGATGCCCTTACACAGTGCTGTTTGCCACAACCTGAAAACCATTCGGAATTTTCGGCAAGTTCATGAAAAATCTAGAAAACAGAACTGGCAAAGTGAAAAAAAACATCAAATCGTATTTAACTGGGCCTCATCAGTCTTTCAATATAAAAATAAGCTTCTCTTGAGGAGGAGGGGAAAACACTTCATAGTCCAAAATTTCAAAATCATGAGCCAAACTCATCTCTGCAGCTACTTCTCCTTAAATCACCACTTCCGGTGGCACAAAATTTGGCAATTACGTCAACACCTTGCTTTTGGAGAACACCTAGGAAGTTGAGCTCAGTTTGGTGTTGGCAGTAACACACATCTTTCACGTTTGGATTCATTTTGGACAATCCAAAGTAACTATTAGAAGCAGCTTGGGGAAAATCCATTTCACAAACACATTCTCCCTTTTAACTTAAAATTACATTGTTTCAATGAAACCCACAAAATCCATATTGCATACATAGTATTTCTAAAGAGGTAAATTAAACCTAAATTTTCTCTTTTCAAAACCTGCTGATTTAATGGTGTCAGGATTTTCCAAAACATCATCTTGGCTCCTTTCTTCTGATTGCCGTGTGGACACTGTATTTTTCTTGTAATATGTATTATAGAAGGCACATATTCAAGAGTTGAAGGTTATGTTAGTTCAAGTTCTATATGGAGGCAAATATTTTAATCTACTTTGTACAGATGCACAAGATCAAAGTCAGGTATTTCCTTTATTCAGAAATGGAACTTGGCGCCAGGTTCCCGCTCAGAAGTGAGTTTGCACATGGGGCATCATTTGGGAAGGGCTTGCTGGAGAAGTTGGGGGATCGGAGATCTTGGCTGAGTTGTTGATCTGCAATTCCTCCAGCCGCTTGATGTATTCATCGCGCAAAGCTAAGAGCTCCATGTAACGCTGCTCCACTGGATTCGGCTGCTGGAGAGAATCAGAAGACAGGAGTTACCCCTTCATGCCGGCCAGGTCCAAAGAACACAGCTACGCTACACTGCTGCTACTGCCGCTTTATGAATAAACCCTCTCACTGAGGATGAATGTAAAAAACCAAGACCAAACCCGTTGCTGTCGAGTTGATTCTAACTCACAGCGACCCTACAGCACAGAGTAGAACCACCCTATAGGGTTACCAGGGCTGTATTCTTTACGGAAGCAGACTGCCACATGCGTCTCCTGTGGAGCGGCTGGTGGGTTCCAACCACCAACCTTTCGGTTACCAGCTGAGTGCTTAACCACTGTGCCACCAGGGCTCTTTAGGATTAACATATATACATATTCTTTTAAAAAAATAGTGCCTAATCATACGGAAAAGTACAAAGACTAATCAAACACACACCTAGGTATCCATCACCGAGAAACAATGAATGCAAATACTTTGTCACACATGCATCACATTCTTTTTCAAACTTATCAACACAGACACAGCTAAAGTCTCCTGTGTCACTTGTCCCCAGGCCCACTGCCCTTTGTCCCTCTTTCAGAAGAGGCAACAATGCTTCCGGAGTTGGCATGCAGCCTTCCTGGGCAGATTTGTGATCCATTTCCTTTAAGCAAGTATCCACAAATGGAATACAGTATTTTTATATGTTGTTCAGGTTGCATCAGTAGTATTGTTTTGTATTTATCACAGACATTTTGAACCCAACATTATGTTTCTGAAGCCTATACTGGTTGATTTCCACTGAATGAATAAACCAGAGTGTAGTGATCCATTTCCATGCTGATGGGCAACTGGCCACTTCCAGTGTTCCCCGCTGTTATCCACAATGCTGTACCTAGCTTCCTTGCATACATCTCAACTTGCGAGTATTTCTCTGAGGAATTCTCCTAGGAGTGGGACTGCTAGAGAGTAGACTATGGGCTTTTTCAACTTCAGCTAATGTCTGCTGTGGGCATGTTAAGTATCACTTGTTGTCCCAGCATGGATTACTGAGCAGTCCACTCTTTCCCTATGCTTTCTGATGCCCCTTCTTAATTATACCAAGTTTTCACATCTACATAGGTCTGTTTCTGGGCTCTATTCTGTTCCAAATAAGTCTTGATATATAGTAGGGTGAATTCTTCCTCCATAAATCAAACCAAAAGCCAAACCCGTTGCCATCGAGTCGATTCGGACTCATAGCAACCCTCTAGGATAGAGCAGAACTGCCCCACAGGGTTTCCAAGGAGCGGCTGATGGATTTGACCTGCCGATCTTTTGGTTACCAGCTGTAGCTCTTAACCATTATACCACCAGGGCTCCTCTTCCACCATATTCTCCTCCCAAATTGTCTTGGCTCTTGTTCGAGACCCCCATTTTTTCACATGAATTTGAGAATCAGTTGGTTATTGTACCAACAAGTGCAATTAGACAAGAAAAAGAAATCAGTGGTAACACAATCATTTTTTGTAGATGACATGACTGTATAATTAGACAACTCAAGAGAGTAAGCAGAAAAACTATTAGAAACAAAAAGATCACTCAGTCAAGTAACAGTGTACAAAATATATAGAAATCATCAGCCCACAGACAACCACCATTTAAAGGCCATGAAAGAAGAGCCAATGTGTGATCATACAAAAAAGACAAAATAATAAGAAATGAAATTTAAAGTCAAGTGACATTAAATATTATATCAATTTCCCACTTGTTGATAGCTCATCAAATGTGAACATAAATCTTTCCATAAAATCTGCTGAGTTTTTGTCAAAGCAAAGGTTGGTAGTTTTTGCTTTTAAACGCACACTAACCCCGTTTTCTTCTAGGTTGACAGCTCATGAGGGGAAGGGACTGTATATTCTTTTGTGTCTTTTGATACTGCTCAGTATACCCTAGTGTGAATGCTGTAGGTACCCAGTGATTATTTGCATACTAACTGGGTCACACGACTGAGTAACAATTTAAGTGATTAAGTACATTCTTGTAGGTTTACATTATATAATAAAAAAGTCCTGTGTGATCTGATTTTCATCTATTTCTGTACGAAACCTGAGCAGATCTTTTAAGAAAGTCTAATGTAAGAGAATGAGCCCTGGTGGTGCAGTGGTTAAGCGCTCAACTGCTAATCGAAAGGTTGGCAGTTGGAACCCACCAGCCACTCCCAGGGAGAAAGATGTGGCTGTCTGCTTCCAAAAAGACCACAGCCTTGGAAACCCTGTGGGGTGTTTCTACTCTGTCCTATACGGTCGCTATGAGTCAGAATCGATTGGACGGCACCCAACCACAACAATGTAGTTCGTTTACACTTCTACTGTCGCATTTGTCCGCCTGCGTTATAATCAGCTGGTCGTGTTCCCAGGCCACCTGCAGGCCTGCTCCTTGTCGGTGGGGACTGTCTCTTCTGAATCTCTGTGTTCCCCCAGTGCCTGGCACATGGGCACACTCAGTATTTGGGAGATAAAAATACACAGTGCTGAGAGAAATAAAGATGTGCACAAGATACTGCATGTTCAGAAAAGCTACCCAGAAAGAAGCTGTCACAGAAGTACCATTATTGCCTTTATATATTCAGAAATGATCTGCTCCAAATTCCTTGCATTTCAAAAACTCCCCCAAGGACAAATGGGTGAGGGAAGATTACAGAATCTGTACAGAAATGGTCAACACTTTCTAAATGTTAATGGTGGCTTATTTTATGGGACAGACACAGTGCTCATCTATAAAATAGTTTTTAGTTAGAAAAGGAACACGTCTTCTGTAATAGCGGTTACAACCCTGGAAACATCCTCATGCACTCTTTACTTGATATTCCGAACACTACAACTACTGCTAAATACACTCCCTCAATGTGCTTCTCAAATCCCAAATGAAACAAGCGAATGTTCTCAAGCCCTGGAATCTGTCACTTTCCAGAAGAATACACATTGCAACCATTACTGAACGGCAAAAGCCTTTCATGCAAGCAAGAGACCTTGAAGTGCCAGTGCCAGCTTAAAGCTGGCATCTCCCCAGTGAGAAAGGGGGCCCGCAGGCTGGCGTCAGGCTCCTTGCTTGAGGGGAATCAGCAATGGAGGAGACAGGCTGCAGCAAGCAACGGGGCCCTGCTGTTGCTAGGATCTTTCCATCGGGATTAAAGCACGTGCTTCTGCAAAACTGGCCTGAGAGAACACGTAGTGGACCATTTGAGCCTCAGACAATGGTACAAGCCTTTACAAAGAGCAAGCCCAACTACGGGCTACTCCTAAGGCTTAGAACAGATCACTAAACGGAGAGAGTTCGGAGCTTTCTCTTCACCTTGCTTTGGATGAAGGTGGGGAGGGGAAGAATGAAAAGCTTAAGTGTATCTTTAATAAAATGTGGAATCTTTCACCTCAAAAATCATTGTTTCCATTTTTGATTGATAAATGGCCAAGTGAATCTGCTCTCCACTAACAGATCAATTATCTCTTTGTTACACAGAACCAGTACCAGTTGCCATGGAGTCGACTCCGACTCTCAGCAATCCCAGGTGTGTCAGAGTAGAACTGTGCTCTGTACGGTTTTCAAGGCTGTGACTTTCTTTTTCCAAGTAGACCACCAGGCCTTTCTTCTGAGGAACCTCTGGATGGCCTTGAACCTCCAACATTTCTGTTAGTCAAGCATGTTAACCATTTGCATCACCCAGGGACTCCTTTAGAAATAAAGGCCCGGATAAAAAAACTCTTATGTTAGTTAACCTAGTATGGACACCTCACCCAATGGTGCAAAATCTACTTTCTTACCCCGAAAGGATCTTCTAAGTTAGGTCAGTGTATGGAATTTTCCAGTGATGAATACGTGATGTGTAACGGCTTCAAGTGATTAAAGAAAATTCTTGGCTATCAAAACTCAGACATTTTCCAGAGCTTTAAATCAGCTGACACTCTAATAAAAATTATATTATCCATGTTGACACAGAAATTTAAGTTAAACATCAATAAAAATAAATGGGTTAGTACTGAACAACAAGCTCAGAGATGTGGTTTTTTTTAGTCTGCTTTTTTTCCCTCATGATATTAAGAAACATACCCAATGATATTGTCTAAAAGCCCAGAAGTAATAATTAAGTCAGCATTATTCTCTTTTCACAGTGCCATTTCACTTACTTGTTGCTTGATTCTGGGGTTCCATCTAATATAGTAATTCACCCAAAGTTCCAAATGGCGCATACTGGCAACTGGATACAAAACGCGATTGATCTCTTTAGTATAGAAAGGATTTTTGAATTTTTCTTTATTACTGTTTATCAGTGACCAGAGAGAAACAGTCCTTTCTGTAACTTTCTATAGAAAAAGAGAAATTGGAAAGCATAATTAAAAACGCACATAAACACATAAACCATTTTGCAGCCTCTGGCCATCCAGTTCAGCGTCATCTTGCACCATGCTGCTCTCTGCTGAGTCACACACATTTACATTATCCCCATAATAGCTTGAAATGCTTCATGGGCCAGTGAGTGCCATTTACGGATACTGGCAGAGATAATGGCCTAGCTTGAGAGCCACTATTTCTACCTGAAGATAGAGGTGCAGGATGCTGGAACATTAAATGCAACTCACTGATCCACGAAGACTATTCCAGGGTAAAACAGCTATAGACAGATGGGTGCTGCTTTTTATTTTTGCTGAAAATATACACAACAAAACCTATACCCGTTCAACAATGTCTACACGTACAGTTCAATGACACAGGTTGTTGCTGTTATTGTTAGGTGCCGTCAAGTCGGTTCCGACTCACAGCGACCCTACATACTACAGAATGAAACACCGCCCTGACCTGCGCCATCCTCACAGTCGTTATGCTTGAAACCATTGTTGCAGCCACTGTGTCAATCCATCCCGTTGAGGGTCTTCTTTTTTTTGCTGACCCTCCACTTTACGAAGCATGATGTCCTTCTCCAGGGACTGGTCCCTCCTGACAATATGTCCAAAGCATGTGAGATGAAGTCTTGCCATTCTTGCTTCTAATGAGCATTCTGGCTGTACTTCTTCCAAGACAGATTTGTTAATACTTCTGGCAGTCCATGGTATATTCAAAATTCTTCGTCAACGTCGTAATTCAAAGGCATCAATTCTTCTTCGGTCTTCCTTATTCATTGTCCAGCTTTCCCATGCATATGAGGCGATTGAAAACACCATGGTTTGAGTGAGGTTCACCTTAGTCTTCAAGGTGACATTTTTGCTTTTCAGCACTTTAAAGAGGTCTTTTGCAGCAGATTTGCCCAACACAAGCTGTCTTGACTGCTGCTTCCATGGGTGTTGATTGTGGATCCAAGTAAAATGAAATCCATGACAACTTCAATCTTTTCTCCGTTTATCATGATGTTGCTTATTGGTACAGTTGCGAGGATTTTTGTTTTCTGTTGAAGAGTAATCCACACTGAAGGGTATAGTCTTTGAATCAGTAAGCATCTTCACTTTCGGCAAGCAAGGTTGTGTCATCTGCATATCGCATGTTGTTAATGAGTCTTCCTCCAATCCTGATGCCCCTCTCTTTTTCATATAGTCCAGCTTCTCAGATAATTGGCTCAGCATACAGACTGAACAGGTATGGTGAAAGGATACAGCCCTGCTGCACACCTTTCCTGACTTTAAACCATGTGCTATCCCCTTGTTCTGTTGGAACAATAACATTGGTTACAATCCTCATATTGTGTCACCATTCTCACCATCTCTGCTCATATTGTTTCACCACCATTAGCTTAGATTCACTGCCCCCTAAACTTTTCATCTATGCTTTAGTGTGACTGTTGTCAATTTGATCTCATATAGATAATTCTTCAAAAGGGCTCAATGTTCAAGGCAAACATTCTTTACTAATTGGGCTAAACTGTTGTTTAAAGACAACTTTAGGGGACAGTTTCGGTTCAAGGTTTAACAATTATCTCAGGGCAACAGATTTCAGAGTTCCCCCAGTCTCAGTGGATCTGACAGTCCAGTTTTCATAAGAATTTTAAACTCTGTTGTACATTTTTCCTTCTCTTGATCAGGATCCATCTACTGTGTCCTTGACCAAAATGTTGAGTAATGGTAGCTGGGTACTACCCAGTTCTTCTGGTCTCATGGCAAAGCAGGTAGTAGTTTATGGAGGCACTTAGACCTGTAATCTATTTCCGTTTCCGACTCCTAGGTCTTCCTCTTCTGCTCCAGCCAAAGAGAGACCAATTGTTGTATCTGGGATGGTCATTCATAAGCTTTTAAGACCCCAAGCACTACTCACCAAACTAGGAGGTAGAACAAAAACTTTAAAGACAATATTAGGCCAATTGACTGGACAGACCCACAAAACTATGACCCTAGATCTTCAAACCAAGGAAACTAATTTCATAAGGTATTTAGTTGAAACTAAGTAATATCAGCAGCTGCAACCTTTTTTGGGGGAAGGTTGCCGTTGCAAGATTATATATGTCACTCTTGCCATTTCGCCTTTTTTCTGATGTACAGCTTAGTGATATCAATTACATTAGTCAAGCTGTGTAACTATTACTGTTAGTTGATGCCAATTTTCCCATCACCTTAAACAAAAATTCACTCCTTCCCAGAGAATGATTCCCTCTCTCCCTCCTCTGGTAACCACTAATAACCACTGGTCTTCAGAAATTTGCCTAATTTTGTCATTTCATGTAAGTGAGATCATACAATATTTGACCTTTTGTGATTGACTTATTTCACTCAGCATGTCTTCAAAGTTCATTCATATTATAGCATGTACCAGGACTTCATTTTTCTTTATGGCTGAGCAGTATTCCATTGTATGTATGTACCCCGTTTTATTTATCCATTCATCTGTTGATGGGCACTTGGGTTGTTTCCACCTTTTGGGTATTGCAAATAGTGCTGCTATGAACATTTATGTACCAGATTTTGTGTGGACATCTGTTTTTATTTCTCTTGAATAAATACCTAGGAGTGAAATTACCGGGTCATATGGTAGTTCCATGTTTAACTTTTTAAGGAATCACCAAACTGTTTTCTACAGTACTTCCACCACTTTACACTCCCATCAACAACAGATAAGGGTTCCGATTTCTCCACCTCCTTGTCCACAGAGATAATTCTTTCAGGCTCCTGCCTGGAACATGAGGTGCCAGAATACTAGGAGTCAAGTGCAGGAAGGGAGCTGGGGCTCTGAACAGTGAGCACTTGTCTGTTAGCCTCAACCCTCTCATGACACTAGGGTCCCCAGCCTGGAAGCCTATTCTTACCCTCTTCAAAGAGGAACACTGTGGACCTTTGTCAGAGTCCTCAGCTCCAGAGAGGGGTGGAGGGCATCTCGGAATCTAAATGCTTATTCTAAACAGATCTTCAACTGATTTTATTCTTCTCCATTCACCCTAGAGGTGTGGTACAGCACATCCCTGAATCCTCTGGGGTTCCTATGATGCAAAGCGGGTTGGTTCTTGGGTTTCTTCACTGCTGGTTTGAGATTTGGTTATCTCAAGCTGTTTACCACTATCTACTGCTTTCCACCCTCCACCATTTTGCTGCTGTGCCTCCTTCCTCATTTTCCCTGTTCTTGCAGGTTTAGGCGTTTAATATTCCTTTTTGATGTCACGGCAGATTATACACATTTTGGAGAGCCTTTACTAAAGAGATGAGCATTTTTACTCACCTGTCTTTCTCGAGCAGATTCACAGTTGTACAAGAAAGTACCAAACCGGCAACTATACAGATGATCCAGAATTGTAATCAAAAATTGTTCATTGAATTCAAAAGCTGTAGGGAACTAGACAGAAACAAACAAGCAAACAAAGCATGAAGAATTGAGATTGATGTTTCATTAACTGAAAAGATGCACCATAAAAGTAAATAAATGTGGCCACATTGTAGCATTCCAGAAAGGACAGCAGGGGCTGCAATCTGTACATGCCCTATAGCTTACTTGTTGGTGACCTTGATGCCTGGGACCAAGAAGTTTCAGTAAGTGTGAAGTAAGGAATAAAAAGGGAAAGCAGGAAAACTGGCCTGTCTTCTGGGTTCGCCTGAGCATATAGGGTATATTCAAAACCAAACCAAACCTGTTGCCATCGAGTTGATTCTGACTCACAGGAACCCTATAGGACAGAGTAGAACTGCCCCATACGGTTTCCAAGGAGCAGCTGGTGGATTCCAACTGCCGACCTTTTGCTTAGCAGCCTCAGCTGTTAACCACTGCATGGCTCTTAACCACTGCATCACCAGGGTAGATAAAACCAAAAAAAAAAAAAAAACCCAAATCTGTTGCTGTCGAGTCAATTCCGACTCATAGCGACCCTATAGGACACAGTAGAACTGCCTCATAGAGTTTCCAAGGAGCACCTGGTGGATTCAAACTGCCGACCTTTTGGTTAGCAGCCATAGCACTTAACCACTATGCCACCAGGGCTTCCATAGCGACCATAGGGTAGTTTAATTATTTAAGGTGTTATGAGTTAACATACATGTCTATATTCAAACGCCAGTGCAGAATGTATGTAAAATAAAACTTGGTATCGTCAACATCACTGCTTTTCCATTGGCAGAGATAATACAGTTAAATGTTTAATTTTTAAAATGTATACGGAAAATTTCAGACAAATAAATAGTAGCGAGAATAGAACACTGAACTCCCATGTACCCAACACTCTCTTCAACAACCATTCACATGTGGCCCATCTTGATTCATCTCTATCTCTGCCCTGAATTATTCTGAAGCAAATCCCAGATATCATATGCAAACACTTAATTTTAACATTAATTCAAATGCATTTTTATCCTAGAAGTCCTTTACCTGTTTTGACATTTGCCACACACAATCGATAAACTGTAGAAAAATAGGAGATCGGTCAGCATCGGCGTGGTTTTTATCACCATGACCTATTCTCTGAAATGAATCAGCGAAGATGAGTTGTTTTAGTTCATGGGTATAAATCTCAAGGAAGCATACCAGTTGTTGTCCAATGGACTCCGACTCGTGGCAACCCCATGTGTCAGAGTAGAACTGTGCTCCATAGCGTTTTCAATGGATGATTTTTCAGAGGTAGATTACCAGGTCTTTCTTCCCAGGAGCCTCTGGGTGGTCTCAAAGCACCAACCTTTTGGTTAGTAGTCTAGCACTTAACTGTTTGCACCACCCAGGGATGTGAAGAAAGTATACAACCCCCAGAATGTGATGATACAGCAATCTGTCTTCTAAAAGTCAAGTTTATCAGAGAGTAAACAGTATACTGTAGTTTTCCATACCACCATTCCTCTGTCAGTTTGTTGTACTGTGGTGGTTTGCATGTTGCTGTAATGCTGGAAGCTACGCCACCAGTATTTCAAATACTAGCAGGGTCACCCCTTGGTGGATAGGTTTCGGCAGAGCTTCCAGACTAAGACAGATTAGGAAGAAAGGCCTAGCGATCTACTTCTGAAAAACTGGCCAGTGAAAACCTTATGAATAGCAGCGGAACACTGTCTGGTACAGTGCCAAAAGATGAGCCCCTTAGGTTGGAAGGTGCTCAGAACATGACTGGGGAAGAGCTGCCTCCTCAGAGTAGAGTCGACCTTAATATCATGGATGGAGTAAAACTTTCAGGACCCTCATTTACTGATGTGGCATGACTCCAAAAAGAAGAAAAAGCTGCGAACATCCATTAATAATCAGAATGTGGAATGTATGAAGTATGAATCTAGGAAAATTCGAAGTTGTCAAAAATGAAATAGAATGCATAAAGATTGATATTCTAGGCATTAGTGAGCTGAAATGGACTGGGATTGGCCATTCTGAATCAGACAATTATATGGTCTACTATGCTGGGAATGACAAATTGAAGAGGAATGGCATCACATTCATCGTCAAAAAGAACATTTCAAGACCTATCCTGAAGTACAACACTGTCAGTGATAGGATAATATCCATATGCCTACAAGGACAACCAGTTAATATGACTATTATTCACATTTATGCACCAACCACTAATGCCAAAGAGGAAGAAACTGAAGATTTTTATCAACTTCTGCAGTCTGAAATTGATCAAACATGAAATCAAGATGCACTGATAATTACTGGTGATTGGAATGTGAAAGTTGGAAACGAAGAAGGATCAGTAGTTGCAAAATACGGCCTTGGTGACAGGAAGGATGCTAGAGATTGAATGATAGAATTTTGCAAGACCAACTTCTTCACTGCAAGTACCTTTTTTCAACAACATATTCAGCAACTATATACGTGTACCTTGCCAGATGGAATGCACAGGAATCAAAGCAACTACATCTGTGGAAAGAGATGATGGAAAAGCTCAATATCATCAGTCAGAACAAGGCCGGGGGTCAACTGCAGAACAGACCATCAATTGCTCATATGCAAGTTCCAGTTGAAGCTGAAGAAAATTAAAACAAGTTCACGAGAGCCAAAGTATGACCTTGAGTATATCCCACCTGAAATTAGAGACCATCTCAAGAATAGATTTGATGCACTGAACCCTAATGACCAAAGACCAGAGGAGTTGTGGGATGACATCAAGGACATCATAAAGAAAGCAAAAGGTCATCAAAAAGACACGAAAGAAAGTAAAGACCAAAATGGATGTCAGAAGAGACTCTGAAACTTGCTCTTGAACATCGAGTCGCTAAAGCAAAAGGAAGAAATGATCATGTAAAAGAGCTGAACAAAAGATTTCAAAGAGCAGCTCAAGAAGACAAAGTAAAGTATTATAAGGAAATGTGCAAAGATCGGGCTGAGAAAACCGAAATGGAAGTATATACTCAGCATTTCTCAAGCTGAAAGAACTGAAGAAAAAATTCTAGCTTTGAGTTGCAATATTGAAGAATTCTATGGGCAAAATATTGAATGAAAGTGAACGACACAGGAAGCATCAAAAGAAGATGGAAGGAATACACAGTCACTGTACCAAAAAGAATGGGTTGACGTTCAGCCATTTCAGGAAACAGCATATGATGAAGAACTGATGGTACTGAAGGAAGAAGTCCAAGCTGCACTGAAGGCATTAGCAAAAAACAAGCCTCCAGGAATTGACAGAATACCAACAGAGATGTTTCAACAAACAGATGCAGCACTGCAAGTACTCGTCTATGCCAAGAAATCTGGAAGACAGCTACGTGGCCAACCGACTGGAAGAGATCCATATTTATGCCTATTCCCAAGAAAGGTGATCCCAATGAACACAGAAATTATCAAAAAATATCATTATTATCACATACAAGTAAAATTTTGCTGAAGATAATTCAAAAGCAGTTGGGGCAGTACATCGCCAGTAAACTGCCAGAAATTCCAGTTGGATCCAGAAGAGGACGTGGAACAAGGGATATCATTGCTGATGTCAGATGGATCTTGGTTGAAAGCAGAGAATACCATAAAGATGTTTACCTTGTTTTATTGACTATACAAAGGCATTCGATTGTGTGGATCATAACAAATTATGGCTAACTTTGTGAAGAATGGGAATTCCAGAACACTTAATTGTGCTCATGAGGAACCTGTACATAGACCAAGAGGCAAAAAATCATTCAAACAGAACAAGAGCATACTGTGTGGCTTAAGGTCAAGAAAGGCGTGCATCAGGATTGTATCCTTTCACCATACTTATTCAATCTGTATGCTGAGCAAATATTCCAGGAAGCTGGGCAATATGAAGAAGAACGGGGCATCAGGATTGGAGGAAGACTCATTAACAACCTGCACTATGCAGATGACACAATCTTGCTTCCTGAAAGTGAAGAGGACTTGAAGCACTTATGATGAAGATCAAAGATTACAGCCTTCAGTATGGATTCCACCTCAACATAAAGAAAACAAAAATCCTCACAACTGGACCAATAAGCAACATCATGATAAATGGAGAAAATACAGAAGTTGTCAAGGATTTCATTTTACTTGGATCCACAATCAACACCCATGGAAGTAGCAGCCAAAAAATCAAATTACGTATTGCATTGGGCAAATGTGCTGCAAAAGACCTCTTTAAAGTGTTCAAAAGCAAAGAGGTCATCTTGAGGACTAAGGTGTGCCTGACCCAAGCCATGGTATTTTCAATTGCCTCATATGCATGTGAAAGTGGACAATGCATAAGGAAAACCAAAGAATTGATGCTTCTGAATTATGGTATTGGTGAAGAATACTGAATATATTGTGGACTGCCAGAAGAACGAACAAATCTGTCTTGGAAGAAGCAAGGATGGCAAGACTTCGTCTCATTTCCTTTGGACATGTTATTAGGAGGGACCAGTCCATGGAGAAGGATATCATGCTTGGTAAAGTAGAGGGTCAACAAAAAAGAGGAAGACCCTCAACAGGATGGATTGACACAGTGGTTACAACACTAGACTCAAACATAGCAACAACTGTGAGGATGGTGCAGGACCAGGCCCTGTTTCGTTCTGTTGTACATAGTAGAGTTGGAATCGACTCAACAGTGCCTAGTAACAACAAAAACGTTTCAAGGTTCATCCATGTTGTAGCATGTATCAGAATTCATTTCTCTTTATGGTTGAATAATATTCCATTGTATGATGGACCACATTTTGTTTATTCATTCATCCATTGATGGATGTTGTGATGATTATTTAACGTTTTTTAAAACAACTTTTTTGGAGATATAATTCACACACCATAAAGTTCATCCTAACAACAACAACATTTTTCCCTATGGTAATATAGATGAATAACGTAAGACTTTGAAATAATGGAAATTAAGTATATCTATTTCTGTACAGCCCCAACAAAAACTGGCAAAGCATTATCATCCTATATGAGTGCTACAACTATTTCATATGCTTGGAATGTTGTACATGTCAAGTTGTGGAGAGAACGGGTTGGATTATCCAGCACAGCAGGCTAGCGACACAGGCAATGGAGGCTCCCCTAAGGAGTTCTTTCCGTTGCTAAGGGATCCTAAAGTTTCAAAGACGTGAAACCATGTCAGTAAGGTGGGATTATTATAATTAAAAGTCAGTTCTTTCTTCCCTAAAAACAGGCACAAAAGCCTCCCCATTTATTCATTTACTAAACAATGACTCTTTCTACTTGAAAATGCTTTTCACACCACCTAGGAAATCTGAAGGAAGGATAAAAGGCTACACAGCAGGGTTTCTGACACTGTGGTCTACGGGTCCCTCTATGAGACTCTCCTGGGAATTCGTTAAAAATGCTTACTCAGGAAAAAAAAAAAAAGCTTACTCAAAGGGCCTCTGGAGGGAAGACCTGGGAATATGAATTTTAACAAGTTCTCTAGGTGATTTTCAAAATATGTATCAAAAAAATAATACAAAAGGCTGCAAATAAAATTGTAACATTTCCATTAAAAAATCAATTTGGCTCTAATAGCTATAATATTAGCTGAGAAAGACTTACCATTCTATCTATCTTCCTTCTGCTCAATTTCAATTTAAACATTTCTACACAGACTCTTTGTATTACTCTCAAGTGAACAAGTAAAGAGTGGAGATGGACAAACGTGTCTCCTAAAAAGACTTTCAATAACCCAAGGCATCACACATTTGCAAAACCGTAAAGTGGTTCTCATTACCTTCCTCAGGTTTTCTTTTTAAAAGGGAATACATGGTTTAACAACCAATTTTCTAATCTTCTATGGCAATGACCTGGTGTTTTTTTAAAAAAATTAGCTTTATTATTTACTTACAGATGCAAATTTATGTCCAAAACTTATCCACTCTTTCTGTACCAGTATTTCGAAGCCTTCAATGCTCCTATAGAAGCTGTCCAACATCAGCATGGCCAGGGATGTGAGCTGGGCCGTTCTGTCCCATCCGTCGCTGCAGTGCACCAGCACCGAGCTCTTCCCTGAAGACACTTTGTCTGCCACTTGAATGGCTCCCGTCAAAACCAGCTGCAACGAACAAAATGGGAGTCGATATTGAGTTGTAAGATACTGCTTACATTTGAAATGATACTTTTTAATTCCAGAAACGTCTCATTTTCAAATATTGACTTATGCCTTCAACAGAAAGATCTCCAAAACCGGAACACCAGGAGTGGTAGTATGTATCTGAACGCACGTAGGTATTCAAAAACAAAAATAGACAGAAAGCCAAGCTGCATTTAACACTGATTTTCATATTAGTAAAATAACTGGCCCAGTGGCTCCAGTCCAGACCTTAAAGGCCTGATATGATGGAAATCATCTTTTGGCCTTTAAATTGACAAAACGTGAACTCTTATGTGGCTCATAAATAGAGCAATGGCATTCTAGTAAAAATTTGAGACTTCACACTACTAAATTATGTATACAAAGAGTCACTGCTATGACGTAATTTTTTTTGATGACTCCAGAACGTACTGAGGTAGAATTTACAAGTCACAGAACTCACCCACCATCCATGTGCAGTTCGATAAGATTTAGTTAAGTTGATACAGTTGTGCAACCTCCACCACAGTTCAATTGTAGAACACTTTCGTTACGCAAAAAAGTTCCCTCATACTCATCTGAGGTCAATCCCTGCTCCCATCCTCAACTTCAGGCAACCAGTGATTTACTTTCTGTCTCGATGGATTTGCCTATTCCGGACATCTCATGTAAGGGCGGTTACACAATATTTGTCCTTTGGTGACTGATTTCTTTCCCTCCGCATCATGTTTTCAAGGTTCAGCCAGGGGGTAGCATGTATCAGAACTTCATTTCTCCTTATGGCTGAAGAACATCTCATAGTATGGATAGAGCATATTTTGTTTATCTATTCATCTGTTGTTGGACATTTTGGTTGTTTCCATCTTTTCACTATTATAAATAATACTGCTATGAACATTGGTATACACGTGTCTGTTAGCATTTCTGCTTTCAATTGTTTTGGGTATACCTCTAGGAGTAGAATTTCTGGGTCATATGGTAATTCTATATTTAATTTTTTGAGGAACGGTCAAACTGTTTTCCATACTGTACAATCTTTTTTTAAATCTTTTTTTCAGAATGGTTTTATATTTACAGAAAAGTTGTGAAGGTACTAAAGAAAGTTACCATACACCTGATCCAGTTTTCCCCACTGTTAACGTGGTAAATTGTATGGGATATTTGTTACAACTAAAGAACCAGAACTGATCCATTATCATGAACTTGAGTCCAGACCTTTTTCAGATTTCCTTAGTTCTATCTAATGTCCTTTCCCTGTTCCAGGATCCCATCCTGGATACCACATTACATTTGGTTGTCACAATTCATTTTTTTGCAATTCATTTTTCAGGATGATAAATTAAGAAAAAAGTGAAATTTAGACAGGCAAAATAAAAATACAATTCCTATCAAGTTAGAATATAAAATTTGACTAGAAAACAATCTATCTTAATAATTCACCTATTTAAAGTAGGCTGTTTTGTTGTTTGTTAATATTAAATGACTTCTAAAAGTGTTAGTTCCTTCAAAAAGCTTTGGGTACTTTGACTTAAAAGAGTAAAGGATTTTTGACGTCTTTATCGAGGTGAAGGATTGGATATAATAAAAATACAAAATCCAGTCTTTAAAAAAAAGTCAATTTGAGATAATTTTCAACCCAAACAATCTCTATTTAGGTCCTTGGGGTCATACCTAGTAATGGTGAGATAGTAAATTGGCCATTCCTAAGTCAACCCACATGAAAGATTGAACTACTTACTACTGATGAGATGGAAAGAGACTCGTAGTACACTCTAAAGGTATTCTGGAGGTGATGTCATGGAATCTTCAATTTGTTGTTGTGGTGGTATGCTGTCGAGTCGATCCTGACTCATAGCGACCATATAGGACAGGGTAGATCTGTCCCATAACATTTCCTAGGCTATAATCTTTAGGTTAACCCGTTGTGGCCGAGTCGATTCTAACTCATAGTGACCCTGTAGGACACAGTATGACTGCCCCATAGGGTTTCCAAAGCTGTAATCTTTATGGAAGCAGACTGCCACATCTTCCTCCCATGGAGTGGCTGGAGGGTTCGAACTACCAACCTTTCAGTTAGCAGCCAAGTGCTTAACCACTGTACCACAGGGCTCCTTAATCTTTAGGTTAGGTAAGCAAATTATAAAAAAAACACAAAAGTGGCAAATGTAGAATATATACTACAAATATTTTGTCTCTCAGTGTTGACTTTTTAAAAATTTAAGGAATTAAAAACAAATCCTATTCCATTAAACAATTTCTTTTTAAACATGCAATTTTTAAAATACACTTGCCTTGATATGTTCTAACCAATGAGTAGACTCCAAACTGGACAACCAGTGAGATTCTTCTACGTTAGGATAAACAATGTCTTTCACTTTTTTTAAAGATTCCCGCATAACATGAATATTATGAATGTCCAGGAAGAAAAGTTCAGCGTTATGGTATGCATCATCACTTTCATATCCTCCTCCTGTTGCCTAAGAAACAAAATATATAAACAGGAAGTTGGCTTTTCGATTTCATCAGTAACTTACACAAAGGTTTCAAAAGTTATTTGCCCTCCAAATCGCAACCTAAAAACCTCCAATTTAAGTCCAGTAATTGATTTGACTTGGCCTTCTATCCAACACTAAGCATCAGATATGTTAACCATGCTGTGAGCTGGAAAACAGATGGCAGGCTGGTAGGATCTGTATTTATGAAAAAACTTCTGTTTCCAAAGGCTCTATATTTACTAACTCTTCTTCTGGATCGGCAAAGGCAAAGGCAGGTTCTCCATGGTCCTCGTCCGCCATCAACTTGGTAGCTGTAACAGTGCTCTTCAGGGGCAGCCAGCCAAATCGCGGCAGCAGCAACGGCCTTCACATGGGGCACGATGGGTTAGAGGAAAGCCACAGACCTAGCCTAATAGCTCAGCTTCAGCCCCTATTTGCTGTGTGATCTGGTGCAAGGCACTTAACCTCTCTGAAACTCAATTTCCTCTTCTGTAGCATAGGAGATAATAATACCTATGTTTCACAGGATTAAAGGAGCTAACACCAGCCACCATTTAACGAGCCATATGATGTTTCAGGGAGCCCTGGTGGCACAGTGGCTAAGAGCTTGGCTGCTAACCAAAAAGTTGGCAGTTCAAAGCCACCAGCCGCTCCTTGGAAACCCTATGGGGTAGTTCTACTGTGTCCTATAGGGTGGTATTGATTTGGAATTGACTCAACAGCAACGGGTTTGGTTTTCTGTTTTTGGTATGATGTTTCAGGTACTGTGTTTCTTGCTTTACATAACTTTCTAACTCTTATGGCAGTACTACAAGATAGGTATTTATTACTCCCCATTTTGTAAATGAGAAAACAGAGATTCTATTTAACTATCCCCAAAGTCCCACAGGTAATACACGGAACCTCCATCGAGTCTGGCTATTTCTCTGCTACGGAAAGACTAAGGACAGAGGGGACAAGATGGTGGCCACCTACCTCAGTGCCTACAAGTATTAACTTGCCAGGGCAGGCACTGCTTCACCTACATAGCATGGTAAAGAAGGCCCGTTTTCCATGTAGACAAAAAAAAAAAAAAAGAAATGGCAGTTTTTTGTTTAGGAACCTGGCTGCACTCTGCTTAAAAGTTTTAAAATGCCATGGAATATGTGAGCTTTGGCCCTTGAAGACAAAGTTGAAGAGTTTAGAGGGTTGCAAAGAAACCAGAGCCAGTCACTTCAGAGCACCTGTAGGAAGAGGTCAGGGAAACAGCTGCCTGGAACCCAAGAGCAAAGGAGAAGTCACTAGACAAACGTGCAGTCACTACTGTCTGCCGCTTTCCCTTTTATTTATAACAATAGGAGGAATCTCATCCTGTAGCTGGGGTAGAAGGGCACAAGCAAGCAATGGCTTTTTCTGGGTTAGCAGAAAAGAGTGACAGAGAAGGTGGCCTGCAGTTCGAGTAAGGCTACCACTGGAACTTCAAGCCTGGAGACCTATGTCAGCCAGAGGCCTTGGGATCCAAAGACTAGGTGAGAAAAGTAATGCATTTTACTTAAGTACTTAAGTAGAAATGTTGCTTTAAAGCTTGCTGTAAATAGCATCAGTAGTAGACAGTAAATATGAACTCTGTTGTTTTTAAAAAGTTACTAAACCAAAAAAATAAATAAAAGCAAACCAAAAAAACCCACCAAACCCATTGCCACTGAATCAATTCTGACTCACAGCGACTCTACAGGACAGAGCAGAACTGCCACCAGGGCTCCTAAGTTACTAGCTAATAAATAAATGGACCAGGGTGCCATCTTCCCCCTTCCTGGCTAACCACGCCTTGGGGAAGAAAGCCTTGCAGCTCCGATCATGAGGTCGAAACAGAGGCCCCCATCTACCTGGCAGTCGCTTGGGCAAACCACAGCCCCAGGCCTAGGAGGAAGGGCCAGCCTGAGTTTTGCTGAATGTGCCAACCTATAATGGATGCCATGACATATGTCACCCTCCCCTAGACAGACAAGTGGCTTTTAAATAGTCACGGTGATTTTCAAAGAGATTCTTGACACTGTAGTTTCTTTTAGAAAAAATTGAAAACAATAAGTGAAAAAAAGAAAAGGGAAAAGATACTTAGGACTCCCTGCCAAAGTTTCTGGCAAAACCAGACATGAACAGCATTCCGTTTTCATTCATCACACTGTACCACCACCAAACAAGTCTCACCTATGCCTGGGTTGGCTTTGTTTGTTTGTTGAATTTAAAATGGTGTGGGACATCTGGGGTTGTAAGTTTCTAAACATCCACAAAGGAGGAAAAATTAAGTCCAAAGAGAACAGGAGTCAGAAGGGGAAAAAGCAATTAGTCAAGCACAGACTGAATTCCCAAAAGTTCAAATTCGTCATCTCTGGTTAGTTTTGAAATCTTCTTTTTCGGTTTTCCTTTCTTCAGCAAAACAAGAATAGCCCAGATTACTGAGTGTTGTTAGGGGTTGTTAGGTGCCGTGGAGTCGGCTCCAACTCATAGCGACCCCATGTATAACAGAATGAAACACTGCCCGGTCCTGCGTCATCCTCACAACCGTTGTTATGCTTGAGCCCATGGTTGCAGCCACTGTATCAATCCATCTTTTTGAGGGTCTTCCTCTTTTTTGCTGACCTTCTAATTTACCCAGCATGACGTCCTTCTCCAGGGACTGATCCTTCCTGACAACATGTCCAAAGTATGTGAGATGCAGTCTCACCATCCTTGCTTCTAAGGAGCATTCTGGCTGTACTTCTTACAGGATAGGTTTGTTCGTTCTTCTGGCAGTCCACGGTATATTCAATATTCTTCTGAGTACAACAAGATTACTGAGTACAACAACATAAAGGGCCAAAGGGCCTGTTGCTATGGATACAGACGACTGGGAGAGACAGTCAAAAGGGGAGGTTTTTAAAAGAATGACACAGAGATCTTTCAGCTCTAGGATTTCCCCACAATTTTCCTTCCCTTCATTCCTAAGAGAAATGGAAATAGAGGCACATTTCCCAAGTGTTAAAAAGGCATTCAAGAATTCCACTGCTGACAATGAGTTTCCGAGTTAATATAATTAAGGTATTCATTTTATACATTTTAAAATACTCCCTCTAAATAGTTCGCTTTAATGTTATATCCCATCTACTTCAGGGTAAATATATACATGGAAATATGGCATTTTATACATGTGTTCAACTCCAAATTATATATGAAGGAGAACTGGAACAGACATATACAAAATGAGGATAATCCAAGAAGAAATTTTGATTTCAATTTCATTTCCTGCATCACTTACAAATTCCTAATTTACTTACAGCATTAACTTCCTAATTGCTTTCCTTTTAATTTCAAAATCATTTTCATTAGCTGAACAAAAACCAAGCGGGGTAACAAATAGCTGGTCTAAGGGCGTGCATGCTGGGGGAGGCGCCCCAAAATTAAACATATATGATGGATGATCCACGTGCAAATAATTAAGAGTTGACCGCCCCCCCCCCATACACAGTTTTTACACACGAGTGTACACAGATGTCACAGGTTTCACTTATGCAGCCACTTATCTACTGGAAGTGCTCAAGCAGGTT